CACACACACACACACACACACCCCATCGAGCTGTGATTACTCCATTTTTTGCATGCCAACCAGCTGGAATGTGATAGACAAAATCACTTTAAAACACAAAATGATGTGGCACATACAGGTATTTGCCTCAGTATTCCATGATGTATTATATCCTGTATTTACTAGTTTACCTCATTAATGTTAAACTGAAGAGAACAGTTATATATTTCATATAGTGAAAGTTTATCTAAAACACTAAGCTACTTCAATCTAACAACCCAAATGCATCGACATTTTTTGTATTAGGTAAATATACAGTTTAGCTGCAAAACTGTATTAATGATCTGTGCTAACACAGAGATCATATTCTGTAGGGTCTGTCTACATTATTCATTTTAAGCACTAGCAATTAAAATTTTAAGTGTATGTTATGTACATTGCAAAAGGTTCAAATACTGCAGTTTCTACTCTGGCCAGCAGAGGAATAACGACGGTCTCGGCATAAAAAAAAAAACAACTCCTCTTCCTCCAATTCATCATGGAATACATTCAGGCTCTATGCAACTTAAACACTTACACAATTCATAAAGTATAACAGCGCAACACAACCACAGACATTAACATTGTTCTAGCTTCACAGTATTTGAAAACTATACATCCAGCTATGGGGTGAAGTTTGGGGAGAAATTATAATCATCCCAGTGCTGCAATACATCAGTGGTTACTTATTAATTCTTGAAGATCCCCTCCCTCCCATAATCCCCTTCCTACTATATGTTGGGGTGTGAGGGGCCACCAACATGCAAAAGATGAAAGCATCTAAGTACCCCACGAAACACAACCACCCTAAACATTACAGTCGTCCTCAAGATCATGCTTTAGCACAAGAAGCCAAACAACCAGTAACAAAACGTCATTACACTGAGAAATTATTCAACGCCGATTTGATGGCTTGCGTGGTTCTGACGGCCAAAGTCACAAAAATCACAGACATAGATGTGTCGTCATAATCGAAGTCGAAGAAACGAAGATACCGACAGACTCACAGGATGTTAACCTGTGGTGCTTCTCCTTCATTTTTCTTCCACAAGGCTTAAACAATATAAAGGATTGTAAGCATCTAAAGCTTTGATATGCTCACTGATGGACGTCCATCTCACATTCACACCACAAGACCAAACTGGGAGATTCACTCCAATGTTACATCACAGCCAAGATTTTTACACATTTTTAAAATTTGGTGTGGAGACGCAGTCATGCTACATTACAGCAGACGGCTGTAATTCTCTGGTAAAGGAAACAGAAGTAACGTAATTAGACTAATTACAACAAGGTCAAAAAAAGAAGCTCATCACAGGGCAATGACAGCTGCTGAACGCAACACACATCACTGCTTCCAACTTTTCACAATGATACAAGCATGCTACCTATTCCCAGAAAAGCTGTACTTAACAGAAAATCTTGTGCTCTCCAGTGACATAATTAACAGCCTCTGCCTTGTTAAAGAATAGGAACACTGAAATAATCAGATAACTACTGTATATATATGATATGCAGCATTACACAATTATAATATGATGCATTCTAACATCAGCTGCTATTCCTTAGCTTTATGTTATCATTGTATTTAGAGAAAATATCTCTTAATGAACTTTCAACTCGGCTTTTTAAAGAACACAAAATCCATTCCATCGGTAGGATGCCATGTACCTGGCTGACAAAATTAGAAATGTGCATCTGCTCTGAAGACTGATTTCTGCGCTACACTTTCAATGTGTGCAAACTCCTCTTCCAACCAAAATTAAAGAGCAAATGCTTCACAGTGTTTCTGCAAACCTTTCTCTGTTTTTGCTTACATTTCTTTTCAGTAGTTCATCTGACAGAAAACTCAATGTATAGGTAATAAACGGAGAAAAAAACATGACGAGTTTCATTAAATCTGATTGAGATGTGGTTTTATGAATTTTCCTCCCATAATAAGGTTGCTCTGTCAGTGCCTGTCCCCCCGGGCTCTGAGCACTGCAGCTACCGCCTCCCTCCCACCCCGTCCACCAGGTTGGAGAGGGGTCCGCACCCCTGTCCCTCCCCATCGCAGGCAGACCCTTCCCCCAAGTAAAGGGTAACGTGTTCCCTGGGTAAAAGAGGTTCCCTATGTTGTGTCCCACAGTGAATGACCTGTGTAGAGAAAGAGAGGCCTCATTAGAACACAGCCACAGTTTCACATTCAACAGTAAAATCAGCAGGTTTTACAGTTGATTTTTCTACAACAACAGATTACAGAGAGGAAACTGACCCCAGTGATGAGGCGCACTGCTGTGGAAACAGTTAGACCCCGTAAAATGTTGTCAGCCGTTCCTTCAGCGGCATGGGGAACTGATCTGAGAAGCGCCTCCAGTTGTCCTCTCCCACCTGGTTCTTAAACCCATGAAGGATCTGAAATTAAACACCAGGTGACCTTCACACCAAATTACAACAGAGCACTGCTTCACAAAATAGATCTTGGCTTATCATCAGTGTCAACTGCAGACACTGCCATTCCTTCATTCGGCCACTGGGGGGCAGATGCATGGGGAAAATCTCCTAGAAGCAGCAAGTGCTTTGCATCCCAAAATATGGCTTTGTAAATGCTGAGTTTTTACTCAATTTAGTCAGTTGAACTCAGTAACATTTAATTTGTGTCTAACAGTAATTTTCAGCTTTTACCTTGTAGAACATGTCTCTGAGATCATCCTTTGGATTTATCCATGAGGCCACTGCATCACAGAAGAATATAAAATCCTGTTCCGGAGAAGAGAGGTGAGGCAACATTCAACTTCCAGAGCATTTAACAACAGTGATCACGCTACCATCTTACTGCTAGATCTCACCTGCACTACCCCTCCTGGATTTACACTGATCATAGTGCAAATTCCTCTGAATGCTGAGTCTTTCTCCTCATTGTCTCTTATATTTCGTAGAGAGGTGCACCTGACAACAGGGACGGCCAAATTTAAGATCTTATATCAAGAGAATCCTCAGTAACAATATTAGAAACTTTCATAAATCTCCTAACAGACTAATGCAAATATGCATTTATGAATCAATACACTAACATTATATGTGAGAAATAAACAATTTCTTATCAATTCCTTTCCTTACCAGTAAAAAGGTATTATACTCTATACACACACATCCATGTGAGAAGAAAACCATCTACCATGACCTGAGATAACAAGTCAAGCATGCACACAAAACAAAAATAAAACAAATCAATTTTCTTTTTTTAAACTTTAACACAACTACTCTGAGCTCGAAAAATGTTTGTCTATGAGCAGTGTGTTCAGCAAAACCTCATTTATAGCACCTTGAAAGTAATATTACTTTTGTATAAATTGACTAGAGAAGGTTTGGGGTCATTTTTGGGACAGGCACATGCAGCTGGGTGACTACTGAATGAGAAAGGGATTTAAGAAATGCTCTTTTACAGCAAAGTCTGTATCCTTTCTCTGTTGTTGAACCAGCAGGCATGTGACAAATCTGATCCCATGCATCTTTTAGGCTGTTAGCAACAGGTAACAATGACAAAAAACTAGAAATTAAACAAATTAATGTATAATACATGAAGGTGCTACTGAGGAGGAAGAAAAACAAATCACAAATAGGACCTAAAAGAGGACAGGGTTAGTCACGTGGCTGGCAATGATTACAAACTGATAAGAAGACAAAAAGACAACTGAAAAGACTTCTTTTGAGAAGGAAAGTGAGCAGAGGAGAGCAACAAGGGAGAAGGAGCAGCAACAGGAGACAGACGAGAAGAAAGCAGAGAGAAGATGAATTAAATAAAAGATTGAATAATACACACCAGGGTCTTATAAACTGCTGTAGCATGGGTGCCACCTCTTGAGGACAAACGTAACCAAGACGACCAATTGTTATTGCTAAGGTAACGCAATCACGGTTACACACCACCAAACGCCAACCAAGACATGAGCAATGAGGAGGGGAGGAGAAAAATAAAGAAAAAACAAACAACTCAGAGACATAAATCAACAGAATCTATGTATGATAATAAACAGAAGATTTCACTAGTGTTCATTATTACTGCCCCGTCGGTCGTGGGGAGGAATGTAAAATATGACACTCTAAAAAAAACATAGAACACGTTTAAGGGAGAACACATTGACAACTCTGACAGGACATTCATAGAAAAAAGGCAAACAATGGCATCTGCTTTCAGAAATCATATGGATCCAAGAGCTTTGCAGATCTAGACTGAAAGTCTTCAGCTTGATTTTAAATGTAGGTCTTAAGACACAGGCTAGCTAAGGTGTAGCATGTGTATGTGACTGGCTTAAACAAGAGCAGTTCACTTGGGTTTTCAGAGATTTCTCCCTTAAACTCACAATGTTAATTTTCCATACAAAACAGAAATTTTTTTTTTTTGTTCTTTTGAAAAGAAATGACAGATTACTCCAAGCCAACTACATGGAGGGAGACTAGTATCCAGCACAGCAGGTTCTTATGAGGCAGAGAGGAGGGAGGACCTAAGTTTAAGAGACACAAAACTATGCAACATTCTCATTAACAAACAGGCATTTATGAACAGTCCAATGACACATGCAGAAAGCAGATGGTATGCTCATTAGAGTAAAGTTCAGTGCAGGATCAGCTGATCGGCGTGCCACCGTTCACTCTGAGGATTTACTGCCACGCCCACGTTTTACTGTGGTATTACATGACTGATAAACTGGTTCTGATGGATCTCTCTTAATTAGATATACACAAGGCCAAAACATCTGAATTTGGTCATTCCCTTGGTTCACTGTTGTGTCTTCAATGTATATATTAAAGACACAACAGTGACATAATTCAGTGAGTGGTCAGATGCAACAATTTGAAGATTCTTACCAAACTAGACCGGCGGTTGTTATGATTATCATGTATCCTGCATCAAACATTGGCCATTCTTAACAACATTTAACATCTATTGGCAGATATGCATCCACATTTAAAGAACAGTAAATAAAAGCAACAAATAAACTGACAGCAAACAAACAGGAACACATCTACAGAGTCTATAGTTTTTCTGTTCATCTGTTACACTTCACCCTTGCCTGCATCGTTTTGATGAGATGAGTGACTTGGACTCATCAAATCCCAATTTCCAATTCAAGTGGTAAAAACAAGAGTAGAGTGTAACCCTTTTGTTTTTCCAAGAGTGCTCTAGGCTGGGTGCCCTACATTTAGTCATTTAAGGTGTTCTCTCAGTCAGTCATTATAGTTACTGTTTGTTCAGTACATATGTACCAAGTCTTGTACTAACAGTTCACTATGTGAGGCTGTAAACTCTAAACACACTGCCTGTGTTTTGCATTTAGTCCTGTTACAGTATGCTACAGTACCTCACCTGATGGTGCACAGTCAGTCCACATTAGTATATTCCAAGACTGGGCTCTCACACGCTTCGCTCGATTCATGAATGTCAAGAATTTCACACCAAGGCTTTCATTTAATTTGTCTCCATTTACAGGCCACGCTGCCAGGCTACAAATCAGTAAATGAACTATTCTGCATACTTTGGTGAAACCAGCGAAACCTGTAAGGCTCACAGCTTGGGAAAGGGTTTCTGGACAGAGATTAAAGGGCAGGACAGGCACCCTAGTGAGTGTGGTGAATCCTGGCTGGCTGGACCTGCGTGTGTGAGCACCTCCCTGTGTGTGTGGCAGCCTGGCTGGCCTAAGCACTGCCACCGAGTGGTACCTGTGTTCTCCAGCAGCGTCTTTGGGGTATTGGGCCTGTTAATGATCTCCACCAGCTGGTGCAGCACCATGGCAATATACGGCCGCATTTCAGGACCTATGGGTGTAGAAAGAATAAGAGGTGATGTTCACTGTGGTGACTGTGTTTTAACTGGTGCAAACTGTGGCATACTGTCTTGTGAAAGAAGTGTTAAAAGTGAGGCACTCACCCATTTGTATAGATATCTCTCCAATTGCCCACGTTGCATTGTTGCATACTGATATTAGCTCTGGGTTTAAATTAGTACCCAGTATGGGCATAAAATCAGCTGGAAGAAGGAAAGTGAATCAGCTTAGTAAGTGATTAACAACTTATTGCCAAACATTGACTGAGGATCAGCTGCACGGGACATACCGATGCACGGTTTGACGTGCTGGAAACAAGCTTTTGTCAGATCGCCCAGCAGAGCAAAAGAACTCTGTCGCACCTCTGGCATTTTGTCCTGAACGGTTGGACAGAATAACAAAAGATGAACAACACAAGTGGCTTCATCTGTTTATCAGATAACTGACATGTAATTCACTAGGACAGCTCTTCACCTGCATGCACTGGTACATGAGGGTGAGGATGTTGCTACGAGCAACCAGTTGCTCAATAGTGCCTCCCAAACCCTCGGCTAGTCCACTAAGAAGATCCAAAGCCACAATCATGAAATCTTTGTCTGGGGCCTCGTACTGGTCTGGCTGTGATTGGTGAAGCTAGAAGAGTGAGGGGAGGTAGAGAGGAGGGTAAGAGTTCAATTAAATTAACATGACTGACTGCTGAATAATCACATTATCTTCTTTTATAAGTCATGAAGTCAAGTTCTCGAGTTACAGAATCAGTTCTCTATCCTGACACTACCTTTTCCACCTATAGTTTTGGTGTTTAAACAGTTTACCTGTGCATTAAACCTGCATCAATTGATTTTTCAACACTTTAGGACAAAGCAACAAGCAAATACAGCACTGACCTATTATTACCTTATGAAGTTGACATGCCAAACAGTGACCTAGTCATGCATCCAGCAGACAGAGAGCATCATTAATACTCATCTGTAGTCTTTTTGTGTCCACCTGATGATTGTAGTTTAAGTGCCTTCTGTGGTTTTGTCACTACAAATGATTCCTTTCACATAACATGTAGTTAAAGCTGATCTAATCAATGTTGTTGTTTCAAGTTTAACCAGAAGTTAGAGGTTCAAATGTTCCGTTTTATGTAATTATAGATATGAATAAAGTGTACAGTAAGAGTGTGTCTTCATATGAGGTTTGTACACACTCACCATGGCCTGAGCGAGAGTCTTCTGGACCAGGTTGACACAGCGTTGGTACACAGGTTCACAGTAGGGCAGGAAGCCACTCTGCAGGGCGGTGGCTACTGATGACAAACACTGAGAGGAGGAGGAGACGGGAGTCCATGATCTGTCTTTCCAGTGTTTTCATCATACAGCATAAACTAGCAACTGTCACAGGCAGTAACTCACTTCTAATAAAGGGAAAAGATCTTTGTCTTCATCTTTTAGCTGGTTCCATTTCTGGATCAGTGGAGGCATCAACATTTGGATGTACTCCTGAAAAAGAAGACGCACACAGACAACTAGTGACTGGATGTAACTTCAGACATTCACCCATACAAGGTTTACAACTAAAATTAGAATGCATGAGGAATTAGTTACCTTCTAACTTGTAGGTATGATGCCTTTGACTATGACACATGAAAGTACACTTAAAACCACAAAAGTACAATGAGGAAGAATAACTAAACAGCATGTGCCAACTTGACATTCACACAGAAATGGGAAGTGAAAATGAGTCCAGATTTCGGTTCTGCATACCGGCTTATTGAGATGGTGTCCCACCGAGTCTGCCAGCGTACCTATGGCGTCATAAAGAATGAGCAGATTTTTGTGTTGGTACTTGCTGAAAGCAAACACCAGAGTGTCCAGGATAAATGCCAGGTAGGGCACCAGCTCTGTACAAGCCTCCTCCTCCAAAGTGGCAAAGGCACTGGTCGGGAGAAAGGGAAGAAGACGGTGCAGATGTGTACTGAATACAGTCTTTAGTAGCAGTTAACAGTAGGCTTGTTTTGCACGCAGACCTTTTTTTTACCCCCCCACAGACATTAAGCAGTGGACCAGAGCACAATAAGTAAACACAGCACACTTAGTTTAGCCAAGCCTCCGACTAACAAATGTCATGGCCATGCGCTCCGGCCTGCCACTTAATATGCTCCTTCAGTGGTGATCGGGTATGTTTTAGGCAACATGTCAGACATTTTAACTCGCTTGAAACGGCACCACATGAAAATGAACATCACTGCTGTAAAAAAAAAAAAAAGGGGGGGTGTAGTACAAACACTTCCTTCCTCATTTCAACAGCCCTTCACTTGTTACTGAAGCACTTATTAGTACTCGTTTGCAGTTGTGGTATAATTGTGTTCTATTTCCATATATTGTATTTATATTTCAAGAAATGACATGCACTTTAATGACTGGTATTCCCCCCCCAATTCTGGTCCAAAAATAAACCAAAATGTGACTTTTGTGCACCAGCACACACCAAGCAAAATGTCAGGAATGGCCTTGTCTCAATTACATTAAGAACTCTGGATGCACCTCAACACCTGAAAAACATCATGTACTGTAAAATTACAGGACTTTATCAGAACTTGTTGCTCACCTGCAAGCAGCCTCCTGAACACGCTTGTTGCTGTCTAGAATACGTTTGAGCAGCTCCGTCATTAGAGGCTTCAGGTAAATATCTGGTGGCTGGCTGACAACCCAGTGGGCGTAGCGGCTCAGTGTCCAGCATGTGATTGAACGCACCAGGGCCTTCTTATCAGACAAACAATGGATGAGATGAGGGATGAGCTCAGGCAGGTATGGGATCATGCCCTGCATACAGCCTGGAAACAAGGACAACAAGAGTGTCATTCCATGCAGGCCTTTCCTCGATGTGGACCTTACTCTCCCTGTTTTGTTCCCACTTTTTCCTCCTTTCTTACCTTCAGCTATAGCCCCCAGCACAAGGATGCCAGACTCCTTAACTACCCATTCAGGATGGAAGAGCAGTTCTTTGAGCAGGGGTAAAATGTGCAGCAACAGATCATTCCGGAAGACATTGGCCAACACGTCCAACGCTGCTGCTGAGCACTTACCTAATGTTGGGAGAAAGGTAGAGAGACATACAAACAGAAGAGCGCAGACAAACATACATACAGAAGTAAAAAACAAAAAAATCAAACAATTATTCTTCACTCTCACTAAAAGGAAAGGAAGAGAGCCAAAAGAAGGTACATCAATAAGGAGAAGTGTGGACAGTTCCATGTACACAGGCGCTGAACTCACGCAGGTTCCAATCTGAGATAGTATCATCATCATCTAGTTCATCATCCTCATCTTCCTCTTCCTCAATCCCATCACCCTCATGCTGCTGGGCGACTGTCCGTGAACGGTGGAAGCGTGGTCTGATGTCTTGTTCATTGTCGGGGATGGCCTCGTCTTCCTCAATGTCACCCTGGTGACCAATGTACAGGATGAAAGAAAGTCATGTACGCTGTAATTACAACATTTGATATGTGCATGGATTAATTAATTTGAAACTGTGGCTGTCATGTCTGTGATTATGTCATGTCTGAATTCTGAATTCTGTGGTAAAAGTATAAAACGCGCATGTATTTCTACACCACACAGTCACACGAACCCCTTCACTGAACTGCATGTCAACCCGAGCTCAGGGGCAACTCATCGTCTTACCTACATTGACAAACATTACACTACATAAACTGACCTTGAGCAAGATTATGTCAATCTCGGAGTACTTCATCCCATTGACAAGCACCGGCGTGAGTCTGGAGATGAACCCAAAGGAGACATTATGAGAACTAAGGGCACAATTAGATTAAGGTCCATAAGCAATCACTCAATATCTCATGTTAAAGCTGAGCTCAAGGGGGGGGGGTTCTTCATCAGCCATCCTGAGGTGAGCAAGCTGTTCTATGACTTAACCACCAAGGTTGCTATAAATCAACAGCTTTTATTATTGGCACTGCAGTGTCAGTCTGTGTATTGTGTGCACATGAGTGTATGAATTCTTACTGGGAGAGGTGTCCACAGAGCACTTCCTTACACACCGACTGCTCCGCCAGGGTAAGCCAGAACTCACAGGCCTCCAAGGCGACATTTTCATCGTGGTCCTGAGTCCTCTGCAGCATGTACTGGGAAAAAAATTCAGAGATGTAATATTTCATACTTGTTCATATAAAAAAAAAAAAAATAGTGCAACATCTGTCCACAGGATGTCATCAGGAGCGTATCAGTAAGAATGAAGCTGGTGATATTCTGGATTTTTGTTAACAAATCCCATGAAAAAACCAGAACCAGCCCCGTGTTAGTCTCTCAATACTTCTGAAAGTCCCTAAACTGGTGGTAGCGTTCCAAACAATTTCCTAAAAGGTGGAAGCTGAGTAGTGTTTAGCAAACTTTACTCAAACAGAAACATATATAATCTTTTGAAGCAAATCTATTTTTAGTACCTGGATACTGTGAATGGGACCGACTCAGATTAAACTATTGTGACCATGATCATCATAATGAAGGCACGCCACTCAGTACAAGTGTGTAGCTTGTAATAGTTTTTAAATAACATTAGTAAGGCGTCTATGGCACAGAGGAAGAAGCCATCGGGCATCTTCTACCCAGACATCACTTGTTAGTCGGATCAAGTCACTGGTGGATTTCGTCTGTTATGGGAATCATTTACAATAAGAAAAACAACTTAATAAATACAGGAACAAACGGATTTGTCCTTGTATTACAGCAGGATTTAACCAAAGCTCATTTTCCCACTCTCACGGCCTTTAGCTCCCAAAACTCAATCACCTCTATGATGTTATGCATGTGTGGCAGGAGACGGTCCAGGCGAACTTCCAGCAGCATGACGAGAGCTCTGCACACATTCTTTCTCACTTCTGGCTCCTCGTCTGTTGCCAGCGCAAACAGATTCTACACAGGATGGAAAGACATGAGCGTCAAATGTCTTCTGTGCACAATATGAAACATCAGCTGCTGCTGCTACAACAAACAGTAATTATAATATTTGTACAGCATGTTAAATACTAGATGTGTTTCAGAACAAATATGAATAGTGTGGGACCAAGTCAGTATAGTAAATATCACATTCTACCTGTGCCAACCTTAAATTTTAGTAAGTGGACTTTGAAAGAACATACTGTAGTATTTTGTTTCCAGCAGATTTTCTGCTTAATGCTGTTTCATTATTTATGACATTTTACTTTAACCTTTTTTTGCACTTGAGCTTCAAATACTTTTGTTAACCCTTTTTGATTTGATATTTTTACATAGGTTCATGCTATTACAGATAATTCAATAATAACCCCCCTTTAAAAAACATTTTACCATTTTATGTTTTATCCTCTGATTTGTTTAATAAATATGTTGAAGTACTGGGAGAGAAATCTTATTGCAGGCAAACTATCAGGCTAGTGTTCTGTTAGCTTTTAGCTCTTCTGAGCCCTAAATAAAACTAAAATAAACACTGCAAAGCTAAATCACAATGTCAGAGCAAAACCAACGACTACATAAAATATACAGTGGCACCAAATCACCCCTTGAATCTTTTCACAAGAGCATTTGACTACAACAAGATTTTAAAAGGCGTTTGACAAGTAGCTACACAATCTGCCAGCTAGAATCTGTGTGAGGCTTAGACCAGACACCGAGTGGCTGTATAATGTGACAAGCTGAGATACAAACCACAGTCTATAGTATGTGTATGAGACTGCATCACTGTCAGACTTGCCTCAATGAAAGGGTCGATGTGCAGCATAAGAGCCTGAGTCCTGCTGATGATGAACTGATTGACACAGGCAATGGCATGAGACCTGGAACACAGCAGCCACCACTTCAGAGTCATACCAATGTTTTCCTCACATGTTGCACACCATGAATGCAGCCTCTGTCTTCTTCTTTGCTCCATCTGCACTAATTTAGTCCCCAAATATGAAGAACTCTTTTGTTCAGTTAGCAGGCCTGTTGCATTACAACAAAACTCAAATTGTAAGATGATGTAGGCCTCTAGCATACCTTGTAGATAGATATAACTTTATTTACTTGTGCACACAGGTGTACTTGCTGCACAAAACATGTTCACTAGTACATGACTGAGTTAAAATATGTTAGAAATAGAGAAGTGAAGATGGGAACTAAAAATTTCATTAAATCCTAGTTTTATTCTGCACAACTAAATGACAATCATGCAAAACAGTGACGTAGCAACAGATATATTCACCAAAATGAAATAAGCTCTAATGCACAGTGATAAATCCAATAGGCTCCACTAGTAAAGGGAGTTACAGGAAGAAACTTGATACCTGATCTTAGGACTGCTGTGCTTGAAAAACTGCAAGAACTTGGGGATCATGATGTTCAGAGGTCGGTCCAGCATGTCACTGTCCAGGATCTCAGCAGAGTCCTCGCAGATCTTCTGCGCCAAAGGCCCCGGGGGGGGGGGGGGGGGGGGTGTCAACAAATACTAAGATAGGATTTCAGAACTAACAGGCAGTTAGACCGCGAGCTACTGCAGCTAATAATAATAATACTGACTGAAAGGAATTTTTCTCACATGAAATACCCAAAGGCCGAGCTGGAATGGATTTAGGTTGCTGTTTTTGGTTTTGTGTTGACACCCTGCTGTGTTCATATTTTATTTGCTCTGTAGTAAACAAATGTAATATAGTATCAGAAGCATGTACATAAGAAATGCATTGGTCACACAGAGGATCTGTTCTGCACACTGCTTAAAATATGTTGATCCTTCTCATCCATGACCTTCAATAGGATTCATCTACTTCTGCTCTAGTAACCTTCAAACAGTTGGCAAGATGTCATACTTCTCTCAGAACACACACACACACACACACACACACACACACACACACGTCTTAATGAAGGCTGCTTGACAAATGGTTAGTATGCATGCTCACGATATGCTGCAGACTTCAATGTCTCACAAAAAAAAAAGAAAAAAAAAAAAGGCAGATACAAGAAACAGCACAGCACTGACATGGATGCTGCCTGAAATGTGTTTCCATGGAAACTGTTCCCATGTCAGCATTCCTTTCAGACGAGAGATTCGCCACGGTCTCGAAAAGTGTGGAGGAGCTGAGGGGAAATAAGATGAGGATGGAAAGGAGACCGAATCAAGGTCAAGAATAAATCAAATCAAATCAAGGTCACAGAGATGAGGAGCCAAAGTACAGTTACAGTAGGGTGAATAACATCTTTAATATACAGATTACTCGACGGCACCCTGCAGGGGCACTTTTAGGAATAAAACCGGTGATTTTATTTCTGGATTATATAAAAATTAATATTAATGATGCATTAAAATGGGAAAAAAAAACTGAAGTATATGAAACGTGCTGGTGGTGTTGAAGTACGACATGCAGACCTGATGTAGATGAATCACACAAGATTTGAAATGCTCATGAACACAAATAATGGCAGCCGAATACGGTTATTTTGTAAATGTGAAAGGCGAGCTGAATTTATCAGTCGACTGACAAATTTAATCAGCAGCTATTCTGACTCAAGCAAAAGTCACAGAACTACTCGATTCTTCTGAAATGTGAAGATTTGCTGCTATTTGTGCAGATGTATATTTTCTACTGTGGGTTGGACAAAAGAAGACATCACTCTGAACTCGTTTGTGTACCCATGTGTCAACAGAGAAGGCCAGAGAAACACGAGCGGCCTTCAGACATTCCAATGATGCTGAGGGGTCTGTAATCCTCCCTTCAGGTCCTGCTGTGGAAGGTCATTAACCTCGAGAATGTAAGTTACGCAGACTCAAGTCAACCACACAGCTTCTTCAGCTCCAGAAATTCAAATCATGTGCAAATAAGCACAGAGCTGACAAAAGCGTACGCATACACAATCACTGACCCTTTGGAGCAACATCACAACACCATCGTAGCCATTTTTCAACCACCATTAATCAAAACAGCAAAACTGCTCTCAGGCAAAACCTATATAAAGCCATGCGCCAACAGTGCACTTGGTAAGACACCTGCTTGAGTCTTTTTATAGAGCCTGCATGAAGGGGTAAAGTGTGGCAGCACAGGGTGGGGGTGGGGATGGGAGCTGCAGCGCCTGAAGATACCTAGGCAGTAATCTGTTGTGCTTTTCCATATTAACTTGTGTAGCATTTGTACAATATATTAAACCATTTAAAAGAGTTATACACATTAAAAAAAAACTGAAATGTGGGATACAGATTAGGATAATGCATTACTCCAAGTCAACAGTGACACACCACCATTATACCTAGTGTGTTTCTACCCAGCCTCAGCAGACATTATGGCTACTCTTAGTGGGGGACTAGAAATTCATAACACAGTAACTTCCATTATCTGTGGTAACAGACAACACCTTCAGCAGTCTCTGGTACATTTACAAGGGCTGCTGTGTTTCAGAATTTTATTAGATTTAAGTAACAAACTGTGACTAATTACTTCACAAATCTACAGAAAATAGCACCTGCCCAGTTTTACTGCTACATATCCACAAAAGTGAAACTAAATTGTTTTTAAAGTTCAGTGGACACAAAATTCAGTTTCACACCAGGAGGAGACAGAACTCTAAGCAACGACAACCCCATGAAACCCAGCAGGTTTATTTTATTTATTGTCCTTTTAAATCTTGGTGTCATCTCTTGTAATTGCTTTCAATCCAGTTAAGTATCATTATTGTCATTAACTTTACTGGGACAATTCACCACACCCATTTCAACAGGACACACTGGTGGCTCTGCCAGGCTGTAAAAGTCTTAAAACACTTGTCAGAAACAGGATGGATGGATGGATGGAACTGTAAATAACTTCTAAAGTCCTTTCTCAATGTCACTGAGCAAAAACACGCACACCCATTATAAACTTTATAATGAAGAGCTAAAAATATTACAATCTTTTAAATCATCAGAAGGCACTTCTTTCATCCAGCACCAACAACAGACACGAAGCTTTCCAGCCTCCAAGCTGCTTTTCAAAAACACAGCAAGTCTTATGAGGAGCTGCTACATTTGCTCGCTGTTCACTCTTAAGCCACAAATACATTTCAGGATCCTCTGCCATAAATCTCAGCTTCTGAATTAGCTTTATGAAAGACTGTGGTGCCACAAGGACAGACATTTTTTCTGTCACATCTCTTCCTTAAATTTCAGATAAGACAGCTGACAGAAAGAAGTGACAAGTAATATGCTAGGATATGTTTCAAATGGCCTTCAACACAGCTGACTTTACCATGACAGTTTGATATGCTGCTCTGTT